TGCCTTTGCTGAAACTCTACACAGCACCAGCAGGGAGTCAGACTCACAGACCTGCTGAGATACTGACAATAGTTCTCTGTGAGAGCATAAGGATGAGGTTTCCTCAAATCGGTGAGTTATGGGAAATCCTGATCAACCCAAGTTTTGTGTTTCAGGTGAACTTCTTGCTGCTGCTAGACTGTAAAAACAAAGAGACAAAAACAAAGGGATTGCTTATGATACAGCAAAAGTATGTAATCAAAGAAAGTTAAAAGTGGTGGATCAAACTCGACTTGACAGTTTTGATTTATTCCCCAATGGTCACAAATGCACACAAGGACATGTTCACATTTTATAGATTTACAACATAGAATTGTAAAATATTTAACAGACAAAACAAAGACAATACAAAGTACACAGTAATGTCAAATGAACACTAAACCAAATCCAAGTGTCTTTTGTGACAGCTATGTGGAACAGTTTATTGGTCAGTCTTCGTGTCAGTATTTGTTCATCTGGTCTATATGGAACTTGTATAGTGTAGAATATTTTTTATACTCCCTTTTAGAGCTAAATGGACTCAAATTAATTAATTAATTCAGAATATAGAATTGTATCTAAAACTGGAATTTGAAGTATTGTAATTAAATTGAACTAACTAAGTTTTAAATCAGAAAAATACACAGCTGACAATAATATGTTCTAAGAACGTTTATAATGTTCCCATGAAGAAAACCTTAAATATATATATATATATATATATATATATATATATATATATATATATATATCACTGTAAACCCTAACGGTCAAAATAATTAATTGGTTTGAGAAGGACAAACTTAAATTCAACGAATTAGTTCAGTTAAATTAATTTTTAGGAGTATTTAGCACTTTCTTTTTCTTTCAAGTTCACAGAACTGATATATTTTAAGTAAACTGAACTGCTTCATTGTTTTGAGTTTTATGAAATTATTTATTTTAATTTAGACGAACTTAGGTTTAACTGAAACGGCTGGGATATCTATTTCCCAGCATGCTTTGCCAATGGCACTCGAAAGAGTGTAAATGCTAAAATTAAGTGCAATATAACGTTTTTTTGTTTTTTTTGTGTGTGTAAGATTAATGTTAAGTGAGAGATTTAGTAGTGATTAATGTTTTGTTATGCTAATTTAGAATAATTTTTGTTAATGTTGGCGGATAGTTACCATCATGGTGACAAGTGGTGCATTCAGCTTGATTTGAGAGCAAATTGTCCCTTAATATTATTACACTCATTCAACAAGTGCTTCTGTGCTTGTAAGTGCTTATAACATACTGTTTCTTTCTAATATGATAGCATTTTCTACATCAGCACAGCAGATAAGTTTATACTAATAAAAGTGATCTGAGTTCTGCCAACTTATTCGGGTTCACAGTGTACTACACAGATTTAAGTTATAGTAACTAATTAATACTGTTAACTTTATTTTACCCAAGTTATCTTAACAATAAGTTTTTGAGTTATTTGAAAACATATCAAATATTTTTTATGCTTAAATTGTTTGAGTTAATAAACTTAAATGATTTAAGGCAATCGGTTTCCTCAAACGGTTTGAGTTGAACTAACGCATCAGGTTTTACAATACACACATATATATACATATACAACATATACAAATGTTGTAAGGCAACACTCCAACTCATCATTTCACAAACATATTTTGAACATTGTCAAAGTATTAACAATTTACAAAACGTTTAGGTAAAGGTAAAAATATTCCATAAACGATTTTTGAGAACTTTTTGAAAACATTATTAAAGATCAAATGTTACTGACATTACTGTAAGTAAAAAAAAAATCCTGTAAAAAAAAACAAAAAAAAACGGTAAACTACCGGCAACTGTGCTTACCAGCATCATACCGTAATTATACGGTGTGTTACTGTTTTTGTGTTACAGCATAGCTATTCAATTATAGTTTTATACTGTAGCTGACAATATGGTATTTAGCTGTTGATTTCAACAACAGTAACACACCATATTTTTACAGTATGATTCTGGCAACCACAGCTGCCAGTAGTTTTTTTAACAGGATTATTTTTTTACGGTGTAAAGACGTTACTGTAAGTAAATCAATTAAAAAGAGAACCTTTCCACAAAGTTCTGAGAACGTTATAAAGTGTCTCACGTGGCTTAACATGCGACCTGTATCCGGATGATGTCTACATTGAAAAGACAAGTGTAAACGCACTTCTGATCAGAATGTTATCTGATCAGCGTGTCCAGGTTTGGAGGTAATTGAGGACGCATTGTGATCGGATCTCAGTGTAATGTAAACGTAATCCAGCCAATGATGTGTCTGCATTCACGGGTGGACATCGTATAAATCCCTGCCCAGTCTGATCGCCTGTACAATCAAAGTCAGTCATGAGATCTACTTAGTTACTATCGTAACCTCAGTTCCCTGAGAGAGGAAACGAGTATGGCGTAGCTATACGCAGTGGGGAAACTCCTTTTCCTCGATTTACCGAAGCTTATACGTAAAACGCATCGGCACATCCAATGGTGTGGGCGACTCTGACGTACGACCAATGACCTAGGCTGCGTCCGAAATCGCGTACTATGTGAGTAGGTACCATATTTAAATAAGAACGTACTTCACGAGTGTTAAAAAAGTACCTGTCGGGCCTGAATAATATGAGTCAGTAACAACTAACATAATATACTTGCAACAAAACCAGACTCAATGGCGTTGAGAGCACCTTGGCTACGTAACCATGCCTGGGTTTGAGAAATCTTCGGAACACAAATAAAGATATTTTTGATTTAATCTGAGAGCTGGATCACTCTTCCATAGACTGCCTAAGGGACTGGCTCTTGACGGCCCATAAAGTCATTAAAGAAAATGTTTAAATGTTCCATGTGCCTACAGCGGCTCAATTATAAGTTTATCAAGCGACGAGAATACTTTTTGTGCGAAAAAAACATAAATAACGACTTAATTCCACTATTCCATGGACGTTCTCATTCGTCTACTTCTTGTTACCGGCTGCTCACCGCTTAGGAGTTTTACCGCCACCTACCGTATAAGATGATGTGCTGATATAGCTGGAAGCGCAAAACTTTCTGTTTACAAGCAGAGGAAGATGCGCGCTGTACATACGCTTTTCAATTAGCGTATTTTCCGCACTATAAGGTGCACTTAAAAGCCTTTAATCTTCTCAAAAAACGACAGTGTGCCTTATTATCATCTTATACGGTAGGTGGCGGTAAAACTCCTAAGCGGTGAGCAGCCGGTTACAAGAAGTGGTCGAATGAGAACGTCCTCGTCTCAGTTCTCGCGCATGCGCCAATAAGGAAGTACTGGAATAGTCGAATAAAGCCGTTATTTATGTTTTTTTCGCACAAAAAGTAGTCTCGTCGCTTGATAAACTTATAATTGAGCCGCTGTAGGCACATGGAATATTTAAACCTTTTCTTTAATGACTTTATGGGCCGTCAAGAGCCATTCCCTTAGGAAGCCAATGGAAGAGTGATCCAGCTCTCAGATTCAATCAAAAATATCTTTATTTGTGAACGAAGGTCTTACGGGGTTGGAACAGCATGGGGGTGAGTAATTAATGACTTAATTTTCATTTTTGGGTGAACTAACCCTTTAACATCCTGTCAGGAAGGTCCCCGTGGAGGGCCACACATGGAGGGCCCATTAATTGGGTCGGGATGAAAACAAAACTAGATTGTGACAACAACAAAAAAGAGTCCAATATGCCGCTGAAATATTTTGCTAAGCATTACTGAGCAAAACTATTCCATATTTCACTAGAAGAAATCATCATTTTTTATTTCTATGATTTTTCATGACCTGGAAATCACAATGTTAAAATTTCCCGAGATTTCTCAGGACCAGTGTATCACTGTGTCCATGGTTTGGACGTTTTGACTAGTGTTAAGTGACTAGTGCACATTATGAGACGGCAAAATGCGCAGTGGTTATATACAGAGGATATCTAGACGAGGGTTCCCACAGTCTTCAGATGTCTATTTGTTTAGCTGTGGCGCCCTCTAGACTCCTATGTAGTGCATGACATTTTCAATGTCCTCATTTTACCATTCTAAAGCATCTAGCTACAAAATCACACAGCTATTGGGCATTAGTGCAATTGGACATAAGTTACACTACTGTTGTATGCTGGGTTCTATTGGGTTAATTTAAGCATCAATGACGGACAGATTCTCTCATTAATTTTGTGTAGTGTAATATTACAGTATATATCTAAAATGGTACAGAAATATATTTGTGATACTTTTAAGATCTTATTAATTGTGATCATTGATTTAACTACCAAAAGTTACAAATATTTTAATAACCATTAATGACTTTTTGCAGGTTGGGGCCTTGTTCTAGATTAGTATAGTGGGCATTGAGTCTAACGGGGCGGGAGTGAGAATTCAAGGTTTTGTGTAGGTGGACTGCTGGAACAGTACAGGGTACACTGGACAAATAAAGTCCATTTAAGGCTTTTGAAACTACTTGCAAACATTGCAAATTCTAGTTGTGATAGAAGGATTTAATAACATCCTGGAAACTTTGCAATAAATGGTTTGTCACTCTAAAGTATTAGATGCATATAATTACACCAAAGACTATCAAAGTTAGCTAGAGATAATCTATTTATATAAGTTTGATCATTAACTAATTGTTGTTTGTTCATTTTTTATGGTCAGGGAATTGCCATGTATTTTAGTGCAATGCCTTATGTTTGTTCATTCTTTTTATATAATTGAAAATAGGATTAATTTTGATATTGTTTATGTCCTTGGACACAATCTCATTTAACAAACAACTAAATTATTGTTTTTACTTCCTATTTATTTTTATTTTTTTATTTTAGTGAAATAACAGTTTTGGATTTCTATCACAAACTGATTAATCTCTGTTTTGGTCGTGATTTGGTGGGATCCTTGACATAGGGTCACATATATTAATATTTACATTTAAAACTAAATGGTGACAGAAGTCAGTGGATGATGAAACATTAACCAGCAGCACAGTGTCTGAGAGCATTCGACTCCAGTCATCTGTTCTGGATCTACATCATTCACTCTCCTTGTATTTATCACCACTTTCCTGTCAAAATCGTAGTAAGTTTATCTCTTTGCCTGCATTTTTCATCGTCATCTGTAGCTTAACTCATGAATAATCTGAAACACATGTGTGCAAGGTATAAACAAGCTATGATAAATGTAAAAGTTTGTTTTTGCATATCAAATTGTGCTAAATTATCTCAAATCACTTAATTTAAAATATAATAATTTACACATTATATGAATAACATCATAAAGTGTCAACAAAAGGTATAAAATGTGTATATTTTAAGGTGTAGCACGTGTCATCGTATGCTTTTTATGTGTTGACATGAAAAATTTTATGAAGATATTGTCTAAGACAACTGACACTGAATTAAACAAACCGAAACATTTTTTTTTTTTTTACTGCTGGCTTGGCGGCATTTTTCTATTTACTCTTGTGTTGTGCTATTTGTGTTTTTGTTTCTGCGAAACTTGAAGGGTTGTCAAAAAAGAAAAAAAATACTTGGCATGCAAACTCAACAATGGTAACAAGGAGCAAAATGTCTAATTTGCATCCACTTTTATTCATGTCGCAGTGAATGCCAAAAACCTAAAAAACTATAAACCGGTAATTAAAAAGAAATTACTAAATATATATTGCATAATGAGGATATAGTTTAGTGTTACATTACAATGTATGTGGTGAGATCTTTACCTTTGTACGTATTTGCCTGTCCCTGGATACTTTGTGTGGAATCACATACAATGATGTTCTAATGAAATGTTGTGCAATGACATGTTTCTAATTATTGTGGAGTAAAAACATCTGAAGATATTTTGATCTGTTCTGTGTCTTCCAGGCCAAAAATAAGAACATGAAGCACTGCCTTTTAGTGCTTATATTGCTCTGTTTCTGTAGGTTTGGAATGATGGTAAGATACTAGAGATATTAAATCTTGCTCAATTCCACTCTAGTTCTTTGAGAAAGCACACAGTCTTTTTTACAATATTTTTCTCTTCAATCAAGGCTTCTAATGAAACAGACTATGGCAAAGGGAATTGCAACGATGCCTTAAGCCTGGAGGCTCAACGAGCAGTTGGTGGTGCAGTGGCTAAACTAGGATTGGCGCTTTTAGAAAAACTACAGCCTGGGTCTGAGCAACCAAATATAATCATATCACCTCTGAGTATTTCTCTCACGCTTGCTGAGCTTGCTTTAGGTCAGCATACACAAACACAAACAAATCATTGCCAATCATGCAAAGGGTGATTTTATAAAATTTTATGTTGTTTTTATTCATTTAAAAAATCATTAGGTTCAAGGAACAAGACAGAAGAGAAGTTGTTGGAAATTCTCCAGGCAAAGGAGGTGCCGAATTTTCATGAAACCTTAAGCTGTCTCCAAGAACAACTAACCGCCAAGGCTGTCAAGATGGCTTCTCGTCTCTACCTCATACCAGGTGAAAAACTGATGGTTTGATCAAGCTAAACCTGACGTTACTGGAAGATTATTTTGAGCTTGAGGTTCAGAACAAACCATGTGCTAATGTAATTTGCAACTTTTGAAGGGGTTACTTGTGCTTTTTGTAGATTCTGTAGTTGCTTTTGTCTTTGTGAAGGTTTCAGGGTGAACCAGGACTTTGTGGACAGAGCTATGAACCTGTACAAATCCAAACCTGCACATTTGACCTCCATTAAAGAAGTCAATCAATGGGTGGAGGAAGCCACCAAAGGTCACATAACCAACTTTATATCCAGTCTTCCACCTAACGTTGCTCTAATGTTGATAAACGCCATTCATTTTAAAGGTTGGTCCGCATTTAAGCTGTCATAACTTAGATAAAATATATAACAGAAGGATCATTAACATTATGTTAATTTTCTTTTTGAAAATGATTAAAATGTGGACACTCAAGGTACACTCAAAATTTATTCAAGGTGTAAGGAAAATGTGTTCCCTTTTGAGGGAACTTAGATGCTGCTTCATTGCATTGATGCTATGGGAAAGCCTTAAGTGTGCACCGGTGTCTGAAGCATGTGTGAAATCACTCCAAACCTATTGGCTTACAGAGGTCAGGTGAGAAAGCGTAGCGAACCATCAAAACCATAAAAGGGCAAGTACGTCACGAATGAGAGTCAGTCATCTGTGCCCCATGGTTCGAGTTCCATGTTTACCGAAGCAGTGCGGCAGCTTTGATCATGAGGATTGCAGGTTGAATTGGTTAAGCTGTGCTTGAGATGGGTGTTCCCCTTTCTCATGATCTGTCTCCCAAGACTTTTATGGTCTTGCACTACACTCTTAGAAGAAATGGTTCTATTTAGAACCAGAAATGGTTACATCCCCCGCTTCATATATGGAACTCCAAAATGGTTACTCCAAAATGGTTCTATATAGAACCATTTTTTTTGTAAAAGGTTCTATTGGCCAAGCATGGAACCCCAGGGTTCTATATAGAACCCAGAGGAATCCTTTTTTTAAGAGTGTATAGAACCTTTTAGGGGTTCCAAATACGTAGCGCTGATAGAACCTTCTAAGAGTGTACGCTTTGTCACCTGACTTCCATCGGCCTATAGGATTTGAGAGATTTGAAACATGCTTCAGACCTCGGATCATGCTGAAGCCGTTCCCACAGTGCCAACGCAATGATACAGCGTCTTGTTCCCATCTCAAGAACCGGGTAACAAATGTAACCCTGAGACTTTATTACTTTTTACCTTGAAGGTTACACCACATGACATTTTGCAGTCATTAAAATTTGACTTAGACATATGAAACAATGTCAAAATAAGCAACTAAGCATGTCTTTTCTCTTAGGAGAGTGGCAATCCCGTTTTGATTCCAAGTTCACTGTAAAGGATATCTTTTACATTGACAAAAAAACCTCTGTAAAAGTGGACATGATGATGGGATCCAAATATCCACTCAGCATGTTTGTAGATAGAGAAGACGGCACTCAGGTAATCTATCCGTTTTGTAATTTTGTATCGTAATTGGAATGGATCAGTATTTTGTTTTGAATTTAGCCAAAAGCCTGTAGATAGAGACTTTTGATTTGGTTTTATATTCACACTGCCTTTAGGTTGCAAGGTTTCCTTTTCAAGGAAATATGAGTCTTCTGGTGGTAATGCCAATGCCAATGCCTGGAAATCTGTCAAACACAGCCGCCAAGCTCAACATATCGGACCTTTATAAACAGTTTCAAAGTGAGAAGTCCATGCATGTGAAATTACCCAAATTCAAACTTGAGTTCAAGCAGGATCTGCGACAAGCACTCACAAGCATGGGTAAGATAAAAAAAAAAGGGGGCTAAATCTACATGTTCTTGATTGACATTTGGTAAAATCTGTCCTTTGGTCTACATGAAGTTGATGTGAATAATTATTTAATTAATAATTCAGTTAATATCTAAAATAATTCAGTTAAACAGAACTGTCACCCACACTCATCTATTTCATTTAGGTCTGGGTTTGCTGTTTACTGGGCCTGATTTATCCAGAATCTCACCAGGTGCATTAGTGGTTTCGGGTGTACAACATGCCTCAAGTATGGAGCTGAGCGAGGAGGGGGCTGAGGCTTCAGCTGCGACCGCTGTTACTCTAGTACGTACAGTTCCTACTTTTGCAGTCAACATGCCGTTCATCTTCGCACTGGTGGATGATGCCTCTTACACGCCTCTCTTCCTGGGTATTGTTACCAACCCTAACCCTGGAGAGACAATGGAACAAAGTGATGACCCAAAAACTGAAACTGAAAGCAGCATGAAGCCAAACAAAGTCCCCTTGAGCGATGGGACTCTAAATGATGGTCCACATAGGGAAAATATGCTAAGTTACATGTTAAATATGTGGAAGGACACAGTTCCTCAGCAGTTCCTTGGACATCAGGAGATGGAGGATGGGAACTAATGAGAAGATGGATCTGTCCATATCACAGAACCTGTTTTGACAACTGTAATGTGAAATACAGGGTGTTGCTGTTAATGGCCTGCCCTATGATTGATGGATGCCAATTTGAGTTTGAATGAAAAATGTGGCTGTTCAATGGCAGCTACCCTGACTAAGATTTATGTAAGGATAATGTCTAGTCATTCGGTCACTACTGCAAAACAACCTCAGACAGGGTGAACAGGCATATACTGATTGATTGATTACATTTTTTTAGGGTATTGCATGGCTATTTGCCAAATTAAATAAATATATGGACATGAAACATTTGAGTTGAAATTATTTTATAGTGTGTTGATGCTGACAAACAGCCATTACTTTAAAATATTTTTCCATTAGTGCCACAATTGACCAATCAGAATCAAGTAGGGACCTGTGTAAATGTAAACCAGGGGCATGTTCAAGTTCAAAACCGTGCGCAACGTTTTGCAATGGACGTCATGTTTCCTGGAAATGGCGTGCACCGGTGTGCAACGTGGTTTGAGATATACGTATTCTCTTGTTTGGTGGGTGTCAGAACTGCAGTCCAATCAGCAGCATAAAACACGCGTATTAGAGTGAACTCGTACAATGAGTTAAAGGTAAGTAATTTACAAATGTGTTCGATGCAGCTCTGTATACGAAACAACTGAGGATATTAGAAGACATGTTTGTCACCAGTTTTATTGTAAAAATATAGGATATCATCATAATGATGTAGTTGTTTATATTTTTAGCTTCATTGCAAGTGTATGACAAACAATGGTAATTAAGTGCTTTTCCTAAAAAAAAAAAAAAAGAATGACCTACATATAAAGTCAGTATATGAGGCTAAATAGATGTGTTTTAGTCTGAATTAGGTAAGATTTGGGCTTCCATTTCAGTTTCCACAAATCAAACATATGTTGGACGTGATCCTTACGTTATGAAGAGGAGCGATTTTTCAACTGAATTGAAATATTTTCCTGCCATCGAGGCGGTAGATATCAGCAACTAGCTACCTCATCTTACAGACTGACATACTTTGACTTTACAAATTTCGGAAACGTAGTCACTTAAGTTGTATTAACTCACCTTTGACGAAGTGATCACTAAGGTTACACACACGGGCATTTTCCCATTCAGCTCCTCCTGACCGCAGACATAGGTTTGCAAGCCTTTTTTCCAGAGTTTTTCGATCAATTTCTTGCATTTTCCCCCCTTATGAACAACAACTTTTGGTACACGATAAAAACTCCTTGTGGTTTTATCGATTCAAGTCAATGAATATAAATTCAACTCAATAAATGAGTCAAAATAGAGGCATTTTGAGTTTGTTATAGTTCTAAATACAGGAATCACTTCCTGCCCTCCACTTGTATTTCGCGCCATGGCAACGCAGTGGCGTGACGTCATTTGAAAACAAGCTAAACGTGCAGATTAACAATTGCACATATAATTACATTGCTACAGTATAAAGCTAAAATATAAAACTATCCGAGAAAAAATAAATAAATGTAAGCCTAATATAGTAATTGGAGTCTGTTTTTCAGTAGAAATAAAAAGCTAAAAGTAAACGAAACGAGAGTTTTTTTTTCTTCTAATGCTAGTAAATGGTTCTGAAGCCTTTGACCTGTCGACAAAAAAAGTAATAACTTAACTGCAATAAAATAAAATAAATAAATAAGTTTCGTTCGGGAATTTTTTAAAAGAAGAAATCGTGCACTGAAACTGATATTTTGTTTCGTTGTCACATGTTGTCAAAGATCAGTACGAATCCGAACAAATCTTTTGGTGACCGGAAAAGAATCGAGACTCGAGTCCATCCTCACCACTATCTCCTCAGAAGTTTCAGACCACCTTCTAGCGTCAGCAAAGGGCGGGATTCTGGGATTCCTCACTGAAACACTGCTGATGCGTCTGCTCGAGCACAGTTGACGAAGACAGCTGTGTGCTGAAATCTGCACGAGACGACAGTGGAGTAGAAAACAGGTCAGACCATTTTAAAAATCACTATACGTGTTGTAATCTTAGAAACACAGTTATTTCATACATTGTAAAATCTATTATTATTATTATTTATTTATGTTTGTAGCGACAGAGTTCTCTTCTTTAATAGGACTGTTCTGGTTGATTGTAAATGCATCATATTGTATTATAAACAAAACATCTCGTTTGATTTTGGGGATTGGAATCTTCTATTAAAAAAAGAGTGTAACAAAACTGCTATAGCCTATAATTTCCATATCTTTCCTCCTAAAGATTATTATTTATTTATTTATTGCTGCATGCAAAGTTTCACAAATATGTCTTTTTCAGATTGTGTGGAATGTGAAGCTCAGCCCAGTGGATATGGAGTAATGCTCAGCTTTTTTACTGCGTGGCAGATGCAGTGAGGGAGCCATTTAGATGAATGTGAAAATATTAGTGTTAGGTTTTTTTTTTTTCCATTGATGAACAAGAACTCAGCAAGAAAGTATAATGGCAACCAGATGTGCTGAAGGAACGTTGGGAAGTTTTAGGCCTTGTTGGAAACTGCTGCTGGAACAATTCTTGAACCTGTTCAAGTTTAATGCAAATGATGTGGTGTTAACTTATATTTTCCATTTTATTATAAAATAATAATTTAGACCAAACACTTTTAGTAATAAAGAAAGATTATTTTGAATGGCTCTATTTATAGTATTACGTAGATATTTATTATTATTACTATTCGGTCATACTGTTCAATAACACAAATCAGTTTATCTAATCGTATTGCTATACTGGTGGTAAACAAAATTGTTATCAAGAGGTTGCTGTCAAGATTTCTTTCTTTTTTTCTCTCCAGATGATAAGCAAGAGTTGCCATCATTGATTCACAGCTTCTGTCTTTGTATTTATTAGGATGAGGAAGGTAGTCCTGCTGTTTGGTTTATGGAGTCTTCTCTCCCTCTCACATGCTCAGTTGGTAAGTAGTACTTCACGAGTCCTCAGATGCGTTCTCTTCTTATGTCATTTCACTGTCTGTAACTGTCCAATCTGCTACAGACAGATAGAGAGGAGCCTGAAGGTGAGGAAGAGGTGGTTGAACTTTTTACCACACCACGCACCAAGCTGGCTGCCGCAACCTCTGATTTTGGCTACAACCTGTTCCGTCAGCTGGCAGCACGTGACCCCAAGGCCAGCGTCTTCCTGTCTCCCACGAGTATCTCAGCAGCATTCACGCAGCTTTCAATGGGTGAGGCTCTGCTCCACTATGGAAGGTTATGCTTTTCTTGCTGTGGGGCCAATCACCCAATTTTTAAGGCTTGAGTTCAGCCAGCTTTAATTCTTAACTGAAAGAGTTCTTAAATTTGGTATTATCTGTCATAGGGGCATCTGAACGAGCAGAGAAACAGATTTACAGGGCCCTCCGCTATCACACCCTGCAAGACAGTCAGCTCCATGACACGCTGAGAGACCTTCTCTCCTCACTCAGGGCACCTGCCAAAGGCTTCAAGTCAGCAGAACGGATCCTTTTGGCTAGAAGTGGGTGTTTGTCATTTTGAAATAGGTGTATTTGCATGTGTTCAAGAGTATGACAGCATTTTTGTGCCACGTAAACAAAAAAAAATCTCAGATTATGAGAATAAAATAATATTTTGAGAACAAAGTTAAAATTACACGGGAATAAAATCGTAGCGATACAAGATTCAAGTCATAATATTTGTTAAATTAAAGGAGTAGTTCACTTTAAAACAAAAAAATTTACTCACCCCCATGTCATCCATGTCTTTCTTTCTTCAGTCGAAAAGAAATTAAGGTTTTTGATGAAAACATTCCAGGATTTTCTCCATATAATGAACTTCATTGGGAACCAAACGGTTCAAGGTCCAAATGACCGTTTCAGGGCAGCTTCAATGGGCTTTAAACGACACCAGACGATGAATAAGGGTCTTTCTGAGAATTTTGAGAAACCTATTAGATTAAAGCCACAGAAATACAAGAATAATATTCATGTAAGTCTTATCAATATGAAAATAAAGTTGTAACATTTTGAGAATAATGAAAAAAATCATAAAAAGTCAAACCATTGAGTCATTCATTGAGTGAAAGTTGTACCAATACGATTTATTAAGGACTTTATTCTCATATTTTTAACTCATAACTCTTGTAATCTTAAATTTTGTTTCTGTGACCCTAAAGTGCTGTTGTACAAGAGAAAGAGTGTGTTCTTTCATCCCTGTGCGTTTCAGAACTCCGTCTCAGGCTGGAATACCTCAACAGTGTAGAGAAGCAATATGGGGTCCGGCCTCAAACTCTTGCAGGTGGAGCGCGGGACCTCAAGATTGTTAATGATTGGTTCAAACAGCAGACTGGTGGAAAAGTGGAACAAGTTGTTCCTTCCCCTCTTTCTCGTAAAATATCCGTGCTGCCTGTCGGAGCTGCCTCCTTCAATGGTAAATGGCCTCTGATTCAAAACACTTTTTTAATTGAGAGCTAATGGTTAATTGTGACATTGAAAATGAATCTTCACTAAGTGTTTGAGATGTATCTCCCAGCAGTGATTTGAGTGCTTTTTATTGACTTTTTTTGTAGGTAAATGGATAACTAGGTTCAGCAAAGCTAATAAGTTGGAGAACTTCCAAAGAGATGGAGAAGCGCCAACTCTCATTCCCATGATGGAGCAGGAGAATTACCCAGTGAAGATGGGTATTGACCCTGACCTTGGCTGCACGGTATCAGTGCCTGTTGTATTATGCATGTACAAATGTCAGTGGTTGGAGGGATCAAAAAAGGGCAGGATCTAAGCACAGCGGTTATTTTATTAAACACAAACTCAAAATAACAAGATAAACAGAAAACTCTGGACTAGAAAAACATGAACAAAACAACCGACAAGAACAGACCATGAACTGAACAAAACACATTTGGCGTTCTCCAAATGGTGCACCGACAGACGACAGAACTAGAGCCCGACCGATAAAGGATTTTGAAGGCCGATACCGATACAAATATTTTTGGGTTTTAAAAAATGAATCAAATTGGTTCGGCCAGGTAGGGGCGAAAAAACGTCTGCCCCTACCTGGTAAGATTATCTGCCTATAATCTTACTAAATCAGTGAGCTGTGATGGATTTTGAACATGTGGAAATAGGGTTGAAGATGGAGGACTGTTCCTCATACAATATAGAGTTCCTCATACAAAACAGAGCGCACATGATAGTAACTTTGATGATATCTATTTATAAAGTTCTGTCATGAAACTCTAGATGGTGCAGGCTGATGGGTCCTTAACTCAATCTGCTTGCAATCACATCATTCTCTATAGGGCACAGCTGATTGGTTCCTGCTGTATCAGTAGCCAATGGGCTTGCTGCTCTACCTTCAAATACTGGTCAGCATTTTCTGTAGCTGTTGCAGCGTGCTTTCAGAAATCCTCTGAATTCCATCATTTAAGATAAGTGAACGGTCTTTCTTATGTTATATCGCAATGCATATTGCGTGGTCTGCTTTATTAATTCCTTATAACCATACATCAAACAATGATCTATTATTTTATCAGTCCCGTTTTAACGCTTTAGAGTGAATTTCTTAGGAAATAAGCAGCTGTCAAAGCATTGCTGGCATGTTACTTGTAAAGTAAGATACAGCAGCAGCATGTTTAGCTAATTCAAATAGCAATGTTAGCAAATATGTAAGCTACTGGGGTCAGGGGTATAGTGGGGGCCCAAAAATGTATTTAGCCTACTGTATGTCACAATATGAGGTGAATCCGGGCTAATCATGAGTAATGCCCTCATTCATTGATCTAATGGCATATTCATTCTTGCTAATAATGCCATAATCTGCAGAATGGAGTGTTTTATAGCGCTAATATGAATGGTTGTCACAAGCAGTTGCCAATTTAATTAATCAAATCACTACAAACAAAATACTTTTCGAATAAACCTACGCTATCTCAAGACCAATTCGTACAAATTCGACGAATGATTAAAAAGTGTCTAATTCGTACGACCTCGCTCGTACGAATTCGTACGATTTGTCTAAACCCACGTGATGGGTAGGTTTAGGGGCGGGGTAAGAGTTAGGTCATTCTTACGAATTTATATGAATTGGCCAATTCGTAAAATATGTACGATTTAGCAAAATCGTACTAATTCGTACGAGTGAGGTTGTATGAATTGTTACGAATTAGCCACTTTATAATCATTCGTCGAATTCGTACGATTTGGTCGTGAGATCGGGTTGAATAAACAGGATCAGAACATCATCACCTTTGTCATCTAGTTTGTTACCTGCCCCTGGGGGATTTTCTATGACATACACTTGGCTTTACTTGCTTGTAGCAAGTCCTGTCAGCATCAGCAATAAAAGCGATTAAAAAAAAAAGAAGAAGAACAGCCAGCATCTCCTATATTACTCCCAGAGATGTATAAAGTACTATAAACCTGGACTTGAGTAAAAGTACAAGTGCTCTATCAAATAAGTGACTTGAGTAGAAGTTGAAGTGCTCTTTAAGCACCACACTTAAGTAGAAGTACTAAAGTATTCAACATTTTTTGTACTTAAGTATTGCAAGTAGTTTATTTAAAAATTCACTACTTAAGTACTAAAAGTACAAGTATTGTGTCATGTAATTATTAAAGAAAGCAGTCAAAAGTTTGAACTAGCAATCAAATAAGGCGCTTTGGCGGGATACAAATTTGCTTTGGCGGCCGCCCAAAAAAAAAAATGTCATTGCAGGACAACCCCTGCATTAGTTGTCAATGTGTGTGTCAATCAATACCATTACCCTATAAAACTGGCGTGTGATTTAGGCAGCATGAAAGCCAACTTGCAACGAATGATTCGTAAAAGTTTTATAATTGTAACGAGTAACTAGCAGAACATTAAAAAAATAATTGAAGTAAAAGTATTAAATTCATCAAAAATATCTACTGAAGTAAAAGTAGAAGTATGAGGAAAAAAAAACAATACTCTAGTAGAGTACAGATACAGCATTTTAGTACTTAAGTACAGTACTTAAGTAGTTCTACTTCGTTACTATACATCTCCGATTACTCCTTTTGTGTTGCATTGATTAAGTCATGCAACAAATATGAGAGCACATAATGTCAGAATTGGAAATGGAGTTTCTATTTCTTTTTATGTGATTTTCTATGTGTTCATCTCATACAGATAGCCCAGGTTCCTATGGTGGATGGAGTGAGCATGTATTTCTTCTTGCCCGATGAAGTGACTCAGAATCTGACTCTAATAGAGGAAGCACTTACAGCTGAGTTTGTCCAGGACCTTTCCAATACCCTCCACGCAGTGCAGGTGCTGCTTACTCTTCCCGTTATCAAACTCAGCTACAGGACCGACCTGCTGCCTTCCCTCTCGGACCTGGGTGAGACACAACACATCCACAGTTTTTGTTAGCTAATAGCTAATCAATTTTTTTTTCTTAAATTGTTTCTGTAAATAGTTACCAATCATTTTTCTTTTTTCAGGTCTGTCTGAATGGTTGGCAGAGACGGACCTTATCAAAATCACCAGTCAGCCAGTCAAGTTAAATGGCGTCCAACATATGGTTGTGCTGGAGACGGCTCCAGAGGGTGCAGAGTATGCCAGCAACACCCCCACTGCCAAAGGCCAATCACTGGCTCTAACGTATCGCGTGGACCGGCCTTTCCTCTTTCTAGTCAGGGATGAGCCATCAGGGGCACTTCTTTTCATTGGGAAAGTGCTGAACCCAAGTGACTTGAAAAGGGTATGAGAAAGACATGCACATACATTCATAAAAACAAACAAATGAGAGACCAGCGACTTTTATATGTGCTAATTTTTGCCCAAATCTATTAACAAGAAATAAATATTTTACATATCTGCAATTACATGGGCATTTCAAGCAAAAACCATCAATGCAAACTTTAGGGGCTTTCGCACCGGGTACTAGAAACTTAGTTCTTGGAACTAGTCAGAAGGGAGAACTAATGGTTCCCTTAGGAACATTTTCCTGCCAGCAGGTACTCTGAAGTGACATAAATATGGTAGGTACTCTGAAGTGACATAAAGCCGCGCTTGTTGTGACTTTTATTTTGCCGGTGCGGCGGACCTTTATTTTGACGGCGCTAAAAATGTCTGATCCCGCATTCTCAGTCTTTATTATTTTACTATCTGTCAAATACGTTATTAGAGAACTGTTATACAAAGACAGTATATGAAAAGTTATTAGCGTATACCGTGTGCTTGATGTCCAGTGTTGCTAGCTGAGCAGAAATGAGAAATCTCGTCCCCTTGGTCCCCTCAAAGTAGTGTTGAATGAATTTTCTCCTCAGCGTAAAGGTTAAGAGGCCAATCTATCACTATTTTCCATGTTCGTGGAGTTAGTTTTTGGAGTAAATATATAGGCTATAATCTGCGTTTACACTGCTTAAAAAAAGGGTTTCGTGTGCATTCGGCCAATCAGTGTACGTTAACATCACTGGTATTTCCGGTAGTTTTAGACCCTAATCTGAAGTAGGGGCTAAATTTGTTCTTCCAAAATGAGTTCCTAGAACTAAAATCGTTCCTAGTTCCTGTGGTGTAAACGTGCCAAAATCAGGGTACTTCTGCCAATAGTTATAGGAACTATGAAAAGGTTCCTCTGGTGCAAAAGCCCTTATGTGTACAGTACAAAATTCATAGGTCAAGCTATACTTATGATGGTATGGTCCATTTGTGCTTTTTATTAAGGATATTTTATTGATAGACTCAGATGTTCTTAGCCATGTAATCTAAATTCGTTCTGCCACATAAGGATTTGACACTCATAAATCGGACAAACTTTTCACACGTTCACAATCCCTTGTGTATTAACAGCTGCTATGTTGTTTATTAAATTGTAGGAACAGCTGTTATGTTTTTTTTTATGAAATCTCAAAAGCATGTTGTAATGGCAATCATATTTTGTGTAACATTTGTGTTGATACATGTATCGATACATGTTGAGTGTTCTATAGGCTACATCTGACTTATGACTTTAGTCCCTCAGCAATGTTTAAATTAATTTCAAATTAAGTTCAGTTGACATTCCCATATGTGCATTTACTACCAGCAAGATTATTCTAAATGTGTATAGTATGTTGGCTATTGCTAAAATAAAAAGTAAATAAAAAAATAATAAAAAAATTGCAATCAGTATCTTCTTGTCCCTTGAATTTTTTTTATTCAAATCCTTTAACTAATGAAATGACAGGTAGATAGAACAATTGCAAACACTGTTTCTTAGTAACTATTTGGTTTGAATTTAAATAATCCTGATTAATCCACAATCCTAAATTCAGTTTTTGTTTGTGTGAGGATTCAAACCACTGAAGGCAAGGGCGATGAATTGCTAGCATGACAATTTTAGTACAGATAATCTATCTTCTTCTGGCTTCACACTCAAAAGATGTTGAACTGATTTGAATTAGAAAGACTGAAAGTGGGACTTACTGAATTGCAGTTATCACAATTTTTTTCAAAGGGTTTTACTTTACCTTGCAAGTCAGCTTCATTTTGAAGACTTAAAAGTTAGTTGGAAGACAGTTCAGTAAATAATGACATAGAAACATCTAAGTAATTAATACAATAGATATTTAATAAAGCATATACTTAAAAAGGGGCATTTAATTCAATGTTATATTGTTGAATATAGTGAAACGTATTGTAAAGGAAACTTCAACTAAATAGATATCACTTAACCTTTTACTAGCCAAGTTAAAATTACTTATTTTCTTTGCTACTTTCACTTAATTAAGTAGAGTTTACTTAATTCCATATGTGAAATTTACTTTTTAAAATATTTGTGCAAAGAAAAGTATGTGTTTTTTTCAGTGTGTTTGTTCTGGAAATTAAAAGATCTTTTCCCCAGAACTCTCTGGACAGCTTTCTACAAGCTTGTGAAATGGTGGGAACAATGAATTCATTCATTAAACAAACATTGAACTGAACTGCCCAAACTTGTAATTTTTGAGCAAAGCTCAACATCCCCTATATCTAGTTTGGTCATTTTCCTTTTCTACCTATTCCTACATGTTATTATGTATTTTTCTTGATCTTATCAATGCATGTGTGTTCTCACACTCTACTGCAATGTCATGCATGGTTTTGAGTTTTAAAAAAATACACGCAGCCTGTGCATCAGAGCACACATCTGCAGGATTGTAAAACCTCTAAACACATGTACTGAGATGAACTCTAAAGGTTTCAGAGAAGAAACCTACCTCAATGCATTTTAACAGACTTTAAAACAGTGATTCAAAAACTTGGTCCTGAAGAACATAAGAGAATGGGCCAGGGCTTGTTGCTGTTTAGCCTGTATTAAATTTCTTTAGTGCCATGTCTGTAATGCCTTTTACAACCAATGGATGGTGCCATAAGGACGGTAATCATAAAACATTCAGACAAAACCAATGCATTATTTAAATGGCTGTTTTAGTCTATATATAAATATAGTTTGTGAATTTTTTTCTCATTATGTACTTTATAATTTGTAAAAAAAAAAGTTTTCAACTTCATACTTTGAATGTACTATATTATGTACTATACAAGCCTATATACATACTTGGGCTGTCCATATGTCATTCTAACAGCCTATACATATTTTTAAGTTAAGGAATATAATTCATAGCAAGAGTCAAAATTTGATTTCACCCTCTTGACATGAACATTTTTGCTTTGACCTTGGAATGTCTCAGTAACAAGGAAACCTTCTGTGAACGGGAAACACAGGAAACTCCTCGTGAACTCTTTCGCAACAGGATGAAGGAAGGAAACGGTCTGGATAGCTTAGTTAAAAAGCTGTGTTCCAAAAAAAAAAATCAGCCAACAAGATAACTTATCTAAATTACTGGTTTTATATAAAAAAAAAAGGTAAACCAACTTCACCAGAAAGACCATGTTTGTAGGAACAATCACTATGCTGGGGTTTTTTTTTTAAGCAGGGATTTTTATTTTTTATATTTGGTGAAATCAACCCGTGAATGGTTACCTGAGATATAAGAAGAGAAAGAAAAACACTTTAGCATTAAGGAAGTGATCAGAGCTAAATTTCTTTTAAGTATTTGGCATTGGTCCGATCTTATGCAAGTTACCAGAGGTAAACCTAAGCATGAGATTTCTAGGGCAAATGTGAGCTTTCCCTTTTTTTGATGAGCAAACAATGTACAGCAGTGCTTTTTCACTTTTCTCTTTCATCTGACGGAAGTTCCCCTGCATGTGTTGCATTACTTGTTTTCTGGGTGAAAGGGAGCTGACATACTTTTAAGTGTCCATTTATGCATAAATCCTGGATTTAAAAAAATAAATAAAAATAAATACAGTAAAACCTGCCATGTTAATGAACAAGAAGTTCAATGGGTTGTGTCAGTGTTGTTGTGCTGACATACTTTTAAGTGTCTATTTATGCATAAATCCTGGATTTAAAAATAAAATAAAAATAAATACAGTAAAACCTGCCATGTTAATGAACAAGAAGTTCAATGGGTTGTGTCAGTGTTGTTGTGTCATACTCTACATTTACATTTATTCATTTTAGCTGACGCTTTTATCCAAAGCGACTTACAATTGCTATATATGTCAGAGGTTGCATGCCTCTGGAGCAACTAAGGGTTAAGTGTCTTGCTCAGGGACACATTGGTGTCTCAGTGAATCCGAACCCGGGTCTCTCATTTGTCTTATCCACTGCGCCATCACCACCCCTTTATTGTCACCATAAATTTACACCAAATTACTGTTTTCAAAGTGGTTTCTGAACCCTCCTCCATTGTTTAAATATAGTCTCGCCGCAAAATCACAACATTGGTTGAGCCATTGTTGCTAAATTCAGATTTAAATTCATGTTGGTCAGCAGTATTGCCAATTTAGGGAGATTATAAATCTAATGACTCTTTGGACTGCTGGATAATGTCAGTCATACTCTGAAAACATTTGGGAACACTGTTGGTCAGGATGCTAACAGCCAAGTAGGTCAAGTCAAGAGACCTTTATTCATAGCGTTTTATACAATACAGATTGTATCAAAGCAGCTTCACGGTGAAAACATGAAAATAATACAAGAAGTTTGTTTCTTGAAGAAAATTGCATTAATGTCCACCTTAAGTAAGGCAGATCATTACATGAATATTAAATGTCCCCAAATAAGCAAGCCAAAAGCCAAGGCAACAGTGGCAAGGAACCAAAACTCCATCAGGGACAAAATGGAGATAAAACCATTGGGAGGAACAAGACTCAGTTGGGGGCCAGTTCTTCTCTAGCCAACGAAGGAACAGTGTGTGATTCGGGCAGCTTTACAAGTTAGATTGGATCGGAACATTTAGAGTATTTGTTAATTTCATCTATTTGAAAGACAAAGTAATTAAGCCGATATGGAGTCGAGTTGTTGAGGATCAGCGCCGTGTCGATGAGGCCGGCACTTAAAGGGTACACATCATGCTTTTAAATCATTCATTTTTACTTATAAATCATACATTTGTGGTCTATATAAAGCATAACTGCAATGCTTGGGTCTGAATTCCTCATTATTATAGCTCCACAAGCCCCTTTTCTGATGTGCGTCTGTGAGCGACCCGTTTCAAAGCGGCCCCTTTAAATAAAATGGAGTTGCGTCTTTCCCCGCCCGCTCTCCAGGTCGATGAGTTCACAGTCGGTTCAACTCCCCGCGTTCGGCCATTATTGTATTTTGATAAGAGATATACGATTATATACTATAGCTTCAAAGAACATTTTTAGTCACTCGTTAACAAAATGTCAACAACGGAAGACTTGTCCAAAATCAAGTCCCACCCTACATATTTTTTTTTTGTTCGGAAAAAACAACAACCAACAACCAAAAAACTAAATGTTTATATAAACGTTTATATAAACACGCCAAGAGCGAAATATCGCAACTTTCGCTTCAAGCTGTTCTGCTATTATTTTGGAAAACAGAGTACTTGGCAACCCTGCTAACCAGCCAATCCTTGATCCCTCAAATAAACAGAGAAATGTGAAAGCCATGAACAGAGCCATGTGAAAGAGTTTACCCATTTTAAGCGTTTTAGCCTACAAATGTCTTCCAAATGGTGGTGGTGATGGCGCAGTGGATAAGACACATGCCTTAGGGCTTCAAATCCACTGTGAGACACCAATGTGTCCCTGAGCAAGACACTTAACCCCAGTTGCTCCAGAGCCGTGCGACCTCTGACGTATATAGCAATTGTAAGTCGATTTGGATAAAAGCTTCGGCTAAATTAATACATGTAAATGGTCGTCTCTGCATATTAAGCTCATATATGTGTTTAGAGGTTTAGATGAAGAGGTTTGATATCTAACCTGACGAAAGTTTATTTATTCAATGCTGTCTGCAACATTGTTAACTTTTGTAAAGGTATGTTTAGCCATTAACTTTCAAATACATCATTAGCCTACATACAAATTGCAAACACATGAGGAGAGTCTCTGGAATTGTGACTTTTTCTTTGATCATTCAAACCCGCCCAGAATTGTGGAAACTTTGAGCTTGGCCTCTGAGGGGGTCCTGCTCATAAGTTCAGGTCTCGCAACAGGTTTTATGAGACCATCCTCCACTCCAGAGCTCCCCCCACAAGGAAACTCTACACCTTGAAGTGGATATTGTTCACTTCCTGGTGCGGAGAGCGCCCGCTGGACCCAGTTATCTGCCCTATGGTTGCAGTGCAGGAGCGTTTCTCGGCAGGTCTGTACCCCTCCACACTAAAGGTGTACATGGCAGCCTTAGCTGCTTACCAAGTCCCTTTAGAGCAGTGTTTCCCAACCCTGTTCCTGGTGGCACACCAACACTGTGCGTATTCTTTGTCTCTCTTATCAAACACACCTGATTCAACTCATCAGCTCATAATCAAATGGGTTAATGAGCTGATGAGTTGAATCAGGTGTGTTTGATTAGGGAGACAAAGAATACGCGCAGTGTTGGTGTGCCGCCAGGAACAGTGTTGGGAAACACTGCTTTACAGGGATAGTTCACTTTGAAATTAATTTTTGATATGTTTTAGCTTACCTCAAGGGGATCCAAGATGTAGGTGTCTTTGTTTCCACAGTATTTTCAATTTTGACATTTTTTGGTCAAACCGTTGTTGTCTATCAGTCATACACTGGAGGCTAAGGGGGTCCACCAAAAAGCATGCACAGAGAAGTCCAAATTA